TTGATTTCCGTAGAACTTCCCTGAGATAGAGATTTCTGCCAAGCTTCTTGGTGCATGAGCAAGGATTTTAGCTGCCCAAGAAGAGGGCGGTGGTGGGTCGGACTCTGCGGTAGCTTATGTAGCTCAGCGGAAAGGGAGCAAGGAGAAGAGCCACGGCGAGGATGAGAGCCGGGGCAAAGGGCCCAAGTGCCACAATTGCCGTGAGTTTGGTCACATTGCCCGGAAGTGCAGCAAGTGTTATGCGGATAGGCGGGAGCTCAAACCGGAGCAGAAGAAGGGAGCGAAACCTTTCAAGGGAGTGGCTTTCAGCCTGATTGAGGGGGTAACTGCCAATGAGTGGTTCGTCGGTTTGGGTAGCTCCCAGCACCTAATTGGGACAAGATCCTATTTGAGACCCTCGAGGTATTTGGGGGTGTAGGTGCTCAAGAGTTCACGTTCGGAGACAAGGGAACCTTACATGGGCAGACTCGGGAGCGGCTCGGTTGAGCTGCAATGCGCGACTCCGACCGGAGAGTGTTTTGTCACTCTCCAATACGTGATGTACGTCCCAGGGGTTGCGGCAATCTTGATCTCGGTGAGCAAAGCAACCAAGGTCGCGTCTGGGTTGTTAAAATAGAACGGCAACTGTGAGCTTAAGGTTGACGAGGCTTAAGAGAGACAACGGGGTTGTTGAGCTGAGCTTCGACCCCACGGAGGTTTCCCAGTGGCGGCCGGCGAGCGCGACACCCGCGCCCGCGCCCGCACACGCGCCCACGCTCACGAGCGACCGTGGCCGCGCCGCACGCACAAATTCCAAAACTGATCAAAGTGGGCAAGTTTTGGAAACGATGCAAGAGAGCAGACCGGAGCCGGAAGAGATTGCGGATTGGCATAGGGATGCTAACACCGGCTGCTCAGAGGTACCCCGCGCGTAAGAGACGCGCACCTCGGAAGTGGTACCGCGCCAACTTGGCAGCGGCTACACGGGACACGTGCGGTGCGGAATTTGGGAACAGCAATGTTCTCGGTCCGCGCGACGGTATACCGGGTTCCAACCTAGGTACCGTCGATCGACCGTGGGTCCGATCGGCATACATTCCCGGGGTTTGAACCTGCGCGCCACCCTCAAATTACCTGCAATATTTATCTTTTCGCCGAAATTTCTTCAAAATTGCCCCAATCTGCCCTTGAAAATGGGGTTTATGTTGTCCGCCATAGCCCTTGTTAAAGAGGCGCATCAAGTCGCTGCTTTTCTAAGGAGGTAGGGGCCTTGACCTTCTCAAAGGTTGGCATGATTCCACATGCATGAGCCGCAAAGACCATCAAAGTGGAGTTTGTACGTATACAACAAGCCAGGTGCTGGCGCTTGGACGCCATTCCTTTCCAATTGATTTGAGCAACTTGCAACTGGGGCCCTCTTCCTTGTAAAGTTTTGCGCGATTAATTGGCCGCTTGCGGGCCCGCAAGGCCTCTGCCGGAGACACTCACTTGGTGGTGGTCCATTGGGGCCAGGCCGATAGAGTGTAGCGGATCCCGGGGCAACGGCACCGCGGTCCGCTAGTACCTACCCTATCATTCGTAGGTAGTACCAGGTAGTACCTACTCCCCAAATCGGTAGGTAATAACCGTATTACAAGTTTGTTTTTCGTATAACGGGACCGATCCTACCGTACCTAGTCTACGACGGTCTTCTAGTATCAGGGCACAGACTACGATGGTACCTAAGGTAGTACGTAACTGGGTAGGTACACGATATCATGAGTTGAACTACTGACCCTGAACTTCTGCAAAAGCATACGTCTACCGTACGTGAAAGTGGGTTTATCATTGTGGTACATGGGTAAGTAGTAGGTGCTACAGTATCTGCCTACAAAAAATACCGCGGTGCTGGACCCCCGGGAAGACCGCCGGTATGGACAGTACGTAACAATCAGTCTAATGCAACCTACCTCCTACCCGAGCTGCATTGCCAGACTACAAACATTACCGGGCATTTGATCAAGAAGAATGCCCCAAATCTTAATGCAGGCAATTTACCGAGAACGTTCCCCGGCTCCGCGCAAAAGTGCCGAAAGTTCGACCTAGCCCCGACCTGCACATTTGCCCGAACCAGGTTCTGGACTGCAAGCTATTGCAAGGTTCGGACCCCGGGCGTTGCACAAAAAGCGGAGGTTCAACCTCGGAATTTGCCGGTTTAGAAATCCGCATCGGACATGTCCTGTATACGGAAGCGGGGAAGCACCTTAAAGGAACGGGGAAGCACCCAAAATCGTAGTGTTATCACTGCAGGAAACCGAAGGGAGAGAAGAAAGTGACCTCTAGTGGAAGTCCATGGACGAGAAGAGGCGTACCCTGTTGGAGAAAGGGACGTGGGAGATCGTGGCAAAACCGGAAGGGGTCAAGCCGGTGCCCATAAAGTGGGTCTACTCGGATAAGTCGGGACGCTCACGGGATTGTGGAGCGGTACAAGTCCCGGTTGGTGGCAAAAGGCTGGTGCAAAAGCAGGGGATTGACTTCGACGAGGTCTACGCCCAGGTGAACAAGCACACGACGTTGTGTGCGCTGCTTGCGGTGATTGCGGAGCTGAATCCGGTGGACGTCAAGACGGCGTTCCTTAACGGGGCGCTGGAGGAGGAGATCTACATGCAGCAACCGCAGGGATACAAGCAAGGTGGGCCGGAGGTGGGCTGCCGCCTCAAGCGCACATTGTACGGGGTGCGCCAGACGCCGCGTGCTGCGTGGCACATGCGCTTGAACCTGAAGGAGGAGCTCGGGAACCTCGACTTCGTGGCGTCCATGGGGGATGCAGCGCTTTCCACGGGGCTTGAAGCCGGGGATCGGGTCTACCTCGTGGTGTGGGTGGACGACATCCTTGTGGCGGCCCGTGGAGCGGAAGGATTTGCGAAGGTGAAGGCGCACTTGGCGGAGAAGTTTGACGTGCACGATCTAGACGAAGCGACGTACTTCCTCGGGATGGAGTTGACGCGCGTCAGGGAGGCGCGCACTATGAAGCTGACGCGAAAGAAGCTGACGATGGTTGGAGGTTACGGACTGGCGGACACGCGGGTGCTAGAACGGGGGACAAGTTAACGAAGGAGGATGAGCCCCTCGACACAAAGCGGCTTCCATACAGCGAGTGTGTGGAAAGCCTGCTGTACCTGATTGTGTGCACGAGTCCCGACATCGCACGGGCGGTGGGCGCGCTTGCACACTACACGGCGAGGCCGTCGGAGGCGCACTGGCGGGCGGCGCTTGGCGTTGTGCGCTACTTGTCGAGGACGGCAGACCACCGTGTGACCTCTGGGGGGAGACTCTCGTTGGTTACTATCACATGCGGAATACGCCGGTAACTCGGACACGAATCGGTCCACAACGGTGTACGTCTCCTGAAGTAGGGGGGGGCGGTGAGCTGGTCGAACAGGCACCAGCCAACGGTGGCGGCCTTGACGGTGGAGGTAAATACATGAGCACCGCGCAACCGGTGAAGGAGGCGTTGTGGTTCCGCAAGCTCGGGGGGGATCTCGAGTTGGACCTCGGGACGGTCCGGATCTACTGCGACAACCAATGGGCAAATCGGGCACCTGAAGCATCCGATCGCTTTGCAGCGATTGAAGCACATTGACGTGGTTCATCACTTTGCATGGGAGCACGTGGCACGCAAGGAGGTCGCGTTCGCGTACTGCAGAACGGAGGACATGAAGGCGGACATCATGATCAAGGCGCTGGCACCGGGGACGTTCAAAAAGTGCAAGAGCGAGATAGAGATCGCACTATCATTAGTGTTTGGGGGAGTGTTGAGATACGAGCATTTAAGGACCGAATTTCTAAGTGACTCTATGGTTTTAGGATCACGACGTCGACGGTAATTCGAGGGTACCTAGTAGTTACGATTACACGGTTAAATGCGCGGATTACAGCGTTACACCCGAATGACTTGGCGATAACTGTCAATATTGTGTAGGCTCGATAACAGCCGCTGATGTACGGTATAGAGTGAAATTTTCGGACCTACTAGGTGACGGTCCACTGAGCCTACTAGGCTACAGTGTAGACCAAGAGATAGGCCGTGACTTGGAACACTCCATATACATTGTGTGAACTTGATTGATTGAATATCACTTCCAACAACGGTGTGTTTCAACACCACACCCTTGAGGAGAATTTCCCGCTTCGTTTGCTCCGGCTTGTGCTCTCGCTTGTCCGGCTGCACTTTCGGGTAATGTGACCTAATCCCCCAAAATAATAGCACTTAGGCCCCTTGCCCCGGCTAGCCTCATCCATCCCGCACACCACAGCAACACATTCCGAGACACCCGGGGCTGAAAACCCCTTGCAACAAGCGCCTCCTCCCTCAAACGCTTCTTCTCAGAATGATATCACAGTGTTCATTCGTCTTCACTATCAAGCAAGGTTGCCAATCTCTTGTCTAGGCAACAGCTTGAGTCTAAAGTTTCCAGTCACTGAGCCTAGAGTGTCTGTTCTTGAGTTTACTACTCTTGGCTCTCTCCTGGGCCGTCCGATCTACCTGAGACAGAGGTCTACTCGAATCCTACCGTCGATAAGCATTCGGCTAACTCCTAGCGAGTCAACCATTTCTAACAGTTACAGCGTTACACCCGAATGACGTATTGAGTGACCGCCGTAATAAGTTGGTTCGAGAATAGCCGTTGACATTCAAATTTGCGCGAACCTTCCGGACTCGCTTATTCGCGGTCATCTGAGCCTACTAGGCTATTAGTATAGACCTTGATTAAAAGTGTGACTCTTCTTGAGTGTGTCTAGCATAGCACTGAGACTACATACCTTTAGCGCCGCTAGACCCCGAATACTCGATATAAATTGTATGAACTTGATCATTCGATCATTCAGTCCCAACACGCCGTGTTTGAACTATCAACGAACCCTTCACACAATTCCGGTTCTAGTCCCTTGCATGTACCTTTCCCAGATTCTTAGTCTACGTCCACGACCCACTAGTCGGTTCAACGTTATATGGACTCCTTTCCATCAACCGGTCGCTCTACTACTCACAATACAGCCTATATTCCACTCGGACTTGTGACCGGGGCATTATACTACTGGTGGTCGATAGTACCGTACTATATAGTGATTGGGGTATTGTACTACTCGAGTCGACTCGCATCTGAACGAATTACAATCCGAGTCAACACGCAATCTGACAGTTTGTTTCAACGACACAAACTTCTAATTCTACGGTCGATATTACATACCACAAACCACAATCCTACGGGCGATATTACACGACACAATTCTCGATCCTACGGCTCAACTAAATGTGCGTCAATCAACCGCAATTGTCGACACTCCCACGCGCGGATATATTGTCCCGCTCACACCTAGCCTCTTCTACCCACTCTCTTCTTGGACTTGGGCGTGATCCACCGCTTTTCAATCGGCGTGTCCCAGAAGCTTCCGGGTGCCGCTCGCGCGCTATCCAAATAACGTTTTCCACCCGTGTCCGGCGATACTACCTGCTCCGTCTCCTTCAAAGCCATCTCCGCCCGTGCTCTCAAGCCGCTTCCGCTATGGCCGCTCCCACGTTTTCCGCTGCGTGTTGAGATTGAGGTTGGTTAACGGCCATATTGTGGACATTAAGGACAAAGAGAATACCTACTTGTAAGACGAAGATGAAAGAGAGTGTGGGCTTGACACATTAAAATGAAAGAGGTTGAAGGCTTGGTAGATTATGAGAGAAGCGATTGAGGACTTGACAGATTAAGATGAAAAGGATTGAGTGCTTGATAGATAAGGATAAGAGGAGGTTAGTGCTTGGCAGATTAAGATAAAAGAAGTTGAGTGCTTGATGAATTAAGATGAAAGGGATTGTGCGTGTGCTTGGCAGTTTAAGAATAAATAGCCAAAGTAGTCGGCACATAAAGACCAAACAGATTCGGAAAAACCTGGGAGATTAAGGACCTGGAAAACGTAGATGCAGGAGATTAAGACCGGATTTGTGTGGACTGTTCGAATGGTAGTTGGTTGAAGTGAGTGAAGCTAGCTAGACCGTCGATTATAGTATCCACGTATCGAAGGGCTATAGTAGACTTGGACCAGATTAAAGTAGATCTAGCAACGGGATTGAACTTGACTTTAAGCATTGTCGTGTGATTGATATTCATACCTAAGAGATGCGGGGTGGAAGTTAGGGCGCTCCTTTTACAAAGGCGCTTGTGTGTGAGGGTGGTTGAATCCCTCGTAGGCTCCAAGCATGAGCATGTGATTTCAACAGGTTATGAGCCCACAACAACGCTTTCTAGATAAAGGAGGATGATGACGTTGTTATGAAGTTGAGGAGGAAGAGCTTTGGGTGAAGCTTGGGTTGAGTTTAGCGGTACAAGAAGCATTACCGCAAGGTAGATGGCGGGGATTGACAAGATAATTATCCCGCAACTTGAAGGTGAGAATTGGTCGGTATGGAGGGCCAAGTTCCGAGCCCTTCTTGAGTACAAGGGGTTGTATGTTGTTATTGAGCAACCGGAGTCGGTGGAAAAAAGGAAAGCATCGGGTCAAGCAAAGGATTTGATGATCCTCCACACTCAAGATGCCTATGTAAAGTTGTTCATTGGGGAGTCCACAGCTGCCAAAGCTTGGAAGAAACTTGAGGAGAACTTTAAAACGACAAGCAACGCAAGGGTTGTCCAATACAGGAAGAAGTTGACAAGCTTGACGTTGATCCCGAAGAAGAGCATTGTGGAGTACGTGGGAGAGTTCCGCGATATTAAAGTGGATTCGGAGACAGTGGGTCAAACCGTTTCCAAGGTAGAGTTGGCAATCCATGCCTTGAATGGTTTGCCGAAGGAGTATGCAACTTAGTTGACCTGGTCTAGAGTTGAGTGAGGAGGAGTTGACGTTGGACATAAACCAGCCTAAGCTCATGCGGAAGGAGCAGAAGTTGAAGTTGGCAGGGAAGCTAGAAGCTCTGGAGGAGAAGGAGTATAGGGAAGGCGTTTGTTGCCAACCGGGAATGGTATGAGACCGTTAACAAGGGGTTAAGTGAGCGGGGAGGTTTTAACGGAGGGGTGAGGTGTGAAAGCAGTCCCCACGCGAGGACGTGCTATGCTTGCGAAGAAAAGGGCCATGTCCGAGCCCATTTCAGGAAGCGGAACGTGGAGTGCTTCAATTGTGGGGAAAGGGGCCACATAAGCTCGGTGTGTGGTCACATAAGCCCCGAGGTGGTGCAAAGGCGGTCCTCACGAGCTGTGCATAGCTCGTGAGGACCGCCTGGACCGGAGGGAGTTTGCCGGTGTAGCGTTTACAGCGTGGCGCAAAGAGGCGCGGGTGCCGGCAGATGTGTGGCTGGTTGACTTGGGAAGCACTCAACACATTGCGCCAGATAAGAGGCACTTTGCAAGCTACGAGCGGCTTGCACGTGCGGAGAAGATTGAGGGGCTTGTAGGAGAAGCCTTGACGACGGTGGGGATGTGGAAAGTTTTCTTGGAGTGTGAGACGCCAAACAGAGCGGGCAAGGTGACTATCGTGATGTAGGGCATCGGTATAGTCTAGCCTCGAACAGCCGTCATACATGTAACTAATCATGCAAAAGAAACAGACATTTTTATCAGGCATTTATGTACCTGCATTCCATGCGTCGTTCCCCCCAGATCGGGAGAAGACGTCCCGACAAAGCTCGCTAATTTGAGTCCGTCTTGAATGCTATCCCACGGGACCGCTACGGCGCTACGCGCGAATATAGGTATTTCCGAGATTTGATCTCGACCGCCGCTCGGTGCGACCTACAAATTACCAAATTCATCGACCTCCATAGACCTCCGTAATATCGGTAGAACCTCGGCCGGATCGAGGTACCACGGTGCAATTATCGAGACTGTGTGACGAAA